GCAGAGGGAGAGAGAGAGGGAGACAGGCACTGTAGGAGAAGCTCGACAGAGCACGAAGTGAAGGGGAAGTAAGGCAGCTCCTGGTAAGACAGCTCCGAGCAATCTCTGCGCACGAAACGAAGGCTCCTTTCTGATCCTACTCCCTTTAAAAACGAAGGGCACAAATACAGTATTGTAATCCTAACAATGGCCTGGACAGAAACCAGCCATGTCAAAAAGGTGATTATTTCCCCCTATTGTTTGCTTTTAGCTCTATATGGCATTCCCCCAAAATCTCAAAATCAGGAGCTCGAGGTTTTCACCATTTTTACTGGTGAGAGCCAATTGATATCAGCGCAGTCTGAATAACAGCAAAAAAGCACCCTAGAGAACTGAGCCAAATGCTTCCACATTGTACCCAGTCCTCTCCAGGGAACAGGCAGGAGGGGCCGATGCCAAATTCTCAGTGGGGTTGAGCCTTACTGGCTGATTGCCACAGTGAGGGGTGGGGAGTGCTTCAAACTCCCTGAATTCATTTCTGTCCAAAGGAAAGTTTGAAAAGCTCTTCATCTTCAAAAATAGTCCTTTCCAATGACTGTCCAAAAAATATCTTCAAGAGTGATTATACCCGCTCACCAGGCAGAGCAGAACCAATCCATTATATTGAGTTTCATCTTGGAAAATGGGTTGATCTCTATGGGACCCATGACAATAGCCTGCAAGCCTTCTGAGAAGCCATGATTCATCTGTCTCCCCCGGAGCCACCAGCACATGGCTTTGCACTCGGTAGACACATGGTTAGGAACAAGTGGATTGAAACCAATTCTCATGGGCTTTTAAAAATCAAAAGAAAATCTCAAAGTCAGACCAGGGAAAGACTTATTTCTTTCTGAAAACCACCAGACAAACCGTACCTCTGATTCTAACCACAGTTACTCAACTTCCCTCCCTGTCTATCTGGGCTGGAATGTATTACTCTACACCTGGCAGCAATCTGGTTTTCATATCTGGGAGCATTTCACATCAATGTGTGTGTTGTTGGATGGCAGGAATTCCTCAGTTACTGCGATCTCCCCACAATGCCTGGAATAGTGTCTTGATCATAGAAGTGGCTCAATTCACAAATGAAATAGCCAATTTCACTTGTAATTTCCGAGACAGCTCCAGAGAAGGAGGCAAAGAGGACCAATGTAATTAATAGATGGACTTGATTAATTTATTTGCTTCAACAAGTAGTGAGCTGTGGCGCAAAGAGCCTGCCTTAGTGAGGAAAGCTCTTCTGTAGACCACTGGGTCCATCGCACACATCTGTTTGCCATGCCTTAAAACTGCCACCCCAGGCCAGGTACAGTGGCTCATGCCTGTAATCCCAGCACTTTGGGAGGCCAAGGCGGGCAGATCACGAGGCCGAGATCGAGACCATCCTGGTCAACATGGTGAAACCCCATCTCTACTAAAAATACAACAACAACAACAAAAATTAGCTGGGCCTGGTGGTGTGCACCTGTAGTCCCAGCTACTCGGGACTGAGGCAGGGGAATCACTTGAACTCAGGAGGCAGAGGTTGCAGTGAGCCGAGATCATGCCACTGCACTCTAGTCTAGTGACAGAGTAAGACTCCGTCTCAAAACAAAAACGAAAACAAAAAACAAAAAACACATAACTGTCATCTCAACATTCCTGTCACTGAGCCACTTACGCTTTCAATGCTTCCAAAATAGTAAAAAGTATTTTACTACTTTAGAGAGAAAAGATCATGTCTATCAGTAGAGCCCCCAAGCCCTTTCTCCCATGGCCTCCAGAGGCCTTCAATGGAATCAGAGGCTAACCTGCTAAGACTGTGGTGGGCACCAAGTTCCAACGCTACTCACTCACTCATACCATGAAAAACATCTCCAGGGGCGATCACCTGTCCTTTCAACTACAGTGCTTCTGACAAAGCACCAACAACCTTCTGACAGCCCACTCCATGCCAGATTCTTCTCTGGGTTGCGCTGAAGGCTTTCTGCTACAACTACCACCGACAGGTTCTAATTTTGCCCTCTAGAGCCACACAGAATAGATCTTAAAAGCCTCTTCCACAGGAAAATCCTTTAAGGGGTTAAAGACAATATTCTTCACAATCCATCCAAATCAGAAGCTTACTGGATGATACTGTAGTGAGCTGAGAACTGCGCTCTCCTGCCCAACTGGTTTAGGAGCCTCTCTCCAGCAGAGCCCCGGAGGTGATATACGTCCATACTTTATTTACTGGCAGACGGAGAGAGCCCCTTGTTCCTTAGTCCAGGAACAACAGAGGTTGTTCATCACCCACTGGCTCCTTTTTGAAATTCACTCTGCAGCAAGCACTTTTTAAAGTCATGCACGTACTGCATTTTAAAGAGCATATTCTGCACAGCTCCATTTGCTCGACCTCGGCACTAAGTGTGAGCTGGAACGGATTTCAGTGCAGTACCTTGCTCCCTCCTCCCAGAGCCTGTGTTGAATGTACACTGAGATGTATTCGTAACTATGCAGGACTGGGACTCAAAAATTCAGTGTTTTGTTAAATGTCTGTTTGCCGATTAAAATGCATCTTGCAAAGAAAGCACATTGCTAATGCAGAATCTAGTCCAAAAATAGGTATTATGCAATGCACATTTTTAAATAATGCAGGCAATCTCAGTGTATCTATATTAGTAAATCAGTTCTGGGCTGCCATCTCCTTTATAGGCATAAAGCACTCCATCTGAAGAATGAAGTACTTTCTTATATACACTAAAGAATCATAATCCACCTCGTTGCTGATAGCTGACATTAGTTTCCATTTAAAGGGCATTTACTAGCACCCATATATTCCTGATTTTTTTTTGCCAGCAGGCCCTGAAATCAGCTTGAACGATATCTTTCTGTACCATATGCTGTCGGTGGAGCTGTGCTAATTGGAAGAAATAAAGTGGGTGGGTCAGCGTAGGCAGACCATCTAGAAACGTGCCCCGTCAGTCAGGACTGAGAGGCAGAGATCAGGATTTGAAATATACAGCTCTAAATGCCCCTGTCCAGTGTCCCATAATATCCACACAATGACACAGCCACACAGGCACTTGCTATAATCAAACCCTTGCAGTTCCTCGGGAAAAGTGGCAGAGCAGGGCACAACAGGTACACAGACATTTATCCTTTTGTGGGGTTTGACAAATCACTCCCACTTTATTAGACCACCTTCCCAGGTTCAAGCAATTCTTGTGCCTCAGCCACCCGAGTAGCTAGAACTACAGGTGCGCACCAACATGCCTGGCTAATTTTTGTACTCTTAGTACAGACAGGCTTTCACCATGTTGGTCAGGCTCGTCTCGAACTCCTGGCCTCAAGTGATCCATCTGCCTTAGCCTCCCAAAGTGCCGGGATTACAGGCGAGAGCCACCATGCCCAGCCCAATCACTATTTTCATGCTACAAACGAACACAGAGTGAAAGCTGCAGGATAGACACAGCCAAGATGCAGAAAGGAAAACCTCAACACATCCAAAGTGGCTACTGGCTTCTCCCTGGGGTATGAACTCTGCGCTTGGTAGCTTTAGTGCAGGTGTGGTGTTGAGGGTGTGAGGATAAGTTGAGGGTGTGAGAACGGCTGACACCAGACAGAAGTACCAGGAGGGTAATACCTGGTGGGCCACCCAGTGGGAGAACATCTTTTAAGATTCCCCGTACTGACTCAAGAAGGAGAAAAGGACCCCAATCTATGACATGAATCTCAAGTAAAACAACCTTCTTGATACTCCCATGGCTTCTAGGATGATGGCTTTGCTTTGAGTTGTTTGGCCTTTGGACTTGTCACTGTGGCCAAAAGGCACTCCATGATCATCTTGGAGGGCCAGACTGAAGACATGCACACACCAAAAGCAGCGGCCAGGTTAGCTCCCACTGCAGGGATCTCTCCTGCAGGCCATCGTTTGATTTTCTAGGCCCAAGAAAGAGTGGCAGTATTTATTCCACGTCTTCAGCCTTTGCAGAGTTCAACAACACGATCTAGTGGTGTCTGGCCGCCCCCTAGCCCTGATCCGATCATTTTCTCATGTGGAATTCAAGCCAGATTAAACAATGTTGGTGGGTACAGAGGGATTCTGACTGATTCAATCTCCCGATTAACAGCAAATTAATCCAAAATGTCTTGTCCTTAATACAATACTTTTGTTGTTGTTCACTGCTTTACTTTGAGCACCTAGAACGCAGCTTGGCACGTGTGAGGCACCCAATGAGTATTGCTGAAAGAGTTACCTTAGTTAAAAATCTATCTACAAAATAGCTGTAAGGGGCCTCCAGTGAGAATTCCGTGTCACCCCTGAACTGTCCCACAGTAGAGAAGTGGTTATGGGGACTAAGAGCAGAGGAAAAGCTTCCCTTTACCCATGTTCTCACCTCCAGCCTGAGTTCCAGCACCACCTTCTCAGCTAAATAGAGCTCAGGGCGGTTCTCAGATAGGCTTGCAGACTTGCAAACTACTACCTCAACCCTGCAGACCCTTGTTGAAAAAGTCGAGGTGATTGGCCAATTCAGACTGTTTGGGCATGTCTTTTTTGGACATTTCTCTAATTACAGTCACTACAACAGATCTGCTAAAGGCAGTTTCATGATTAATGACTGCCTGAAATTACCATCCTCAAACTATTAAGCCCTTGGAAAAGACTGGGGGCTGGGGATCATTAACACCTGCGTAGAGACCCTCATTCCCCTTAATATTTGCTATCTGGGGTTCTGGGTTTTTAGCTGCTCCGGGGCTATGTTTATTTCATCAGTAACTGGGGGAACTGGGGAGGGGCACGACCCCATGGGAGCCGATGCCCACCTGCCCAAGTGCTGGACCCCGGGCTAGCTTGCCCGCTTGCTCCTCGCAACCCACCAGGTCCCCCGCCCATCGCTTCGCCTAAATCCTTTCAAACAAGGTTCCCTCCTGCCATCTGCCGGCCCACTAGGGTCTGCGCCACAGGCTCGGCGCCAGCGCGCAGCTCGCGGGGAGGCGGCCCCCACCTCCTTACTGCACATGCCCGGCAGAAGTCCGGGCGCGCAACTTCGCAGAACCTCTCCGCCCGTCCCTCCTCGCCTCAGTCTCCTCTGTCCTCTCTCAGGCGAGAGGACCGGCGGAGGCACCTCTCTGAGTCTTAGACTGCAGAGCCTAAGACTCAGCGAGAGGAGCCCGGGAAGAGACAGACCTTTCCCCACTTTTGCTCAGAGAGGCAAGCAAGGCGCGGAGCTTTAGAAAGTTCCTAAGTGGTCAAGAAGGTAGGTCTTCCCTGTTTCTCTTCACAAGGAGGTGAGGCTGGACCTCCAGGCCAGCTTCTCACATCGTAGGGTGTACCTTTCCCGGCTTCAGCAGCCGATGCACTTTGGAGCCGCTCTCTGCAGAGCCAGAGGGCAGGTCTGCTTCTCGGTGTGCGCCTAAGAGGATGGATCGCAGGTCCCGGGCTCAGCAGTGGCGCCGAGCTCGCCAAAATTACAACGACCTGTGCCCGCCCATAGGCCGCCGGGCAGCCACCGCGCTCCTCTGGCTCTCCTGCTCCATCGCGCTCCTCCGCGCCCTTGCCACCTCCAACGCCCGTGCCCAGCAGCGCGCAGCTGCCCAACAGCGCCGGAGCTTCCTTAACGCCCACCACCGCTCCGGCGCCCAGGTATTCCCTGAGTCCCCCGAATCGGAATCTGACCACGAGCACGAGGAGGCAGACCTTGAGCTGTCCCTTCCCGAGTGCCTAGAGTACGAGGAAGAGTTCGACTACGAGACCGAGAGCGAGACCGAATCCGAAATCGAGTCTGAGACCGACTTCGAGACCGAGCCTGAGACCGCCCCTGCCACTGAGCCTGAGACTGAGCCGGAAGACGAGCGCGGCCCCGTGGTGCCCAAGCGCTCCACCTTCGGCCAGTCCCTCGTGGAGAGCCAGTCTCTCACCCAGCGCCTGCACGCCCTCAAGTTGCGAAGCCCCGACGCCTCCCCGAGTCGCGCGCCGCCCAGCACTCAGGAGCCCCAGAGCCCCAGGGAGGAGCAGGAGCTCAAGCCCGAGGACAAGGATCCGAGGGACCCCGAAGAGTCTGAGGAGCCCAAGGAGAAGAAGCAGCGGCGTCGCTGCAAGCCGAAGAAGAAGCCCACCCGCCGTGAGGCGTCCCCGGAGTCCCCTTCCAAAAAGGGACCCATCCCCATCCGGCGTCACTAATGGAGGACGCCGTCCAGATTCTCCTTGTTTTCATGGATTCAGGTTAGTTGCCCTCCGCTAAACTGGGGAGCCCGGGGTGGGGAGCGGTGTGGGAGCGGCGGGCGGAAAGGAGGTGAGAAGGAAGGGCAGGTTAGGGGCGAGCGGGAAGAGAGGGGCTCAGCTGGCCAAACCAGGACACCGGGTCAGGGTGAGGCGGCGAGGGCTTCCCCAAACTTCCCAGGATGCCAGGAGCGCCCCGGTGGCCAAAGGCTTGTTGGACGGCGGGACGCACCCGGTGCGTCCCGCTGGAGACAACCTGAGGTCCCGGTGCTGGTGCACTGGCTGCGCGACGGAATCCCGAACGAGCCCCAGATTTGGAGCTGCACACCGAAGCGGCATTGGTAAGTCACTTGTTTTGCGCGCTTTTCTACCTCTTAGAAAGACTAGTCTCAAGTAAGTTGGTTTCGCAGGCGCCCAAAATGTGGTTGGGAGGTGCGTGCGCCAACTTTCACGATTCGGGAGCAGCTGCGCTATAGGGACACTGTTGCAATGTGCTGAAAGTAGTCAGAATGGGATTGAGCGAGAACTCTGGAGGCTGACAGCCGGGGAGGGAAATCACCCGCGCGCGCGCGCGGCGCCTAAGCAGCTCAGAGCCCGGAGCCCAGGTCTCAGCGCTGCCAATTTGAAGCCACGGGACCTCCGGGCCAGTTTCCCCCGCTGCCGCGCGCCAGGCTTGGCCGCCACAGCCCGTCCCCGGGCGCTCTTGGGCGCAGAGACCGCCTCAAAGAGCGTGCGCACCTGCCCGCGCGCCTGAGCAGACCTCTCCGGGCGGCTGGCGGTTGGGGGAAAGTACTTGGAGGAAAGGCAGAAGAGGTAAGGGGACCCCTGGGGGTGCTTCTACGGGCTACCAGGGTTGGACGCACAGACACGGTCACGTCGGGGTATTGGCAAGCTTTTGGCGCAGCTGGTCAGGTTGGCCAGGCTGCATGCAGCTTAGCTGACGTCCTGGGCTGTTTGCGCAGGACCCCGGGAGGCCCCCGAGGTGGTCGCGAGCGGAAAGGTAAAGCGGAACAAGGGACAGGCTGGAGAGGGGGTCGCGTCTAACATCACGATAACTTACAATTCGTCCCCAAAGAGCGCGGCACCCGCGGAGGTGGGGAAAGGTGTTGGATCCGGCGCCAGTGCGCGGACAATCAGTCGAAAAGCGGGCAGGGGCCGGCGGCTGAGGGAGGGGAAGCGGCGTGCTCCGGCCATTTTCAGCTTGGGTGGAGTTAGGTTTAGAATCTGTAACGTGGAGGGGAATCTGCCCTGGTGACCCAGCACAAAAACGGCTGTAATCTGGTAACGCACCTTCGGAGGGAAAGGCGTGCTCTCCTCACCAGTCCTGGGGGGAAAGACTGATATGTGAAATGACTTTACAAAATCTCATCCGAATTGGAAATTGATTTTTTTTTTTCTGGTTTGCGTTCTCCTGTTGTGCCGGCTTTACTTATTATGATGACAATTATTTGGAGAAAAAGTAAAGCGATTTGATGGTTTGAGATGAATGACGGTCAGGTTCTTACCTCCTAAGAAAGGATAAGGAAAATACCTTAAATGGTCTTCCTTCCAGGACTTACTCCGTAGGAAAGACGTCGCAGCGTCCAAGAGTCAGTCCTGCCGGGCTGCAGCGCGAACTGTGGTTGGATGCCTTTGCGGTCTTCCCTAGTAAATACGGAGAAGCCAGTTTATTTGCAAGTGGTTTTCTGCGGCAGTCATGTTAGTCTCCAAAGTTTGGAGGCTGCAGACGGGCTAGGCGTGCCCTGCTTTTGGCTTGCCCCTAACTTGAAATTCCTACTCAATGTAAACAATGATGGTATGTTGCTTTCTGTGACAAAGTGTTCAGTTTTTCGTCTGGTAATGTCTCAGCCGTCTGAGTTCATCAAGCAAAAAGGTTTCTAGGGACAAGCAGGAGAAGCCAGGGGTTATGTTGAATTTTTTGGTGTGCTTTTCAAGCGTGGGAGCGATCTTCAGACTGAGTGGTCTGGGAGACCCATTTTCTCACAGAGCTCGGTTTACTCACTAGAGAAATCAGCATGTTGCCTTGTTGCAGGGTGAATAAACAAGTTTTTCAAAAGCCTTCCGTGTCGAACCCACACCAAGCCCAACTCAGGGAGGCTTCCTGAACTGTAAGCATTGCATCATGTTCACGTTCAGCAGGGAGGGACAATCTAGGAACACAGTCTTTCAGACAGTCTTCCACAACTGCCTCCGCAACCGCATTACAGCCCGATTGGAAAAACCTGTTACCTACCGGCACTCACCCTCCCCCACTCAATTCCCCTCCCCCAACTTCCCTCTTTACACCCTGATTCAATGGTGGAAAAGCCAGTGCAGACCATACAAAGCAACTGAGAGATAGACCAAAAGACCAACTCCCCCACAGGAAAGTACCCATGACCTCCTCCCCGCAGGAGACAAGATTTTGCTATATAGACTTATCAAGCCTTCTCTCTGCCTGAGAAACTGGTGTTCAGCTGCCTTCCTTTTCCAGAGCTATTTCTAGCAAGTTCTCCAAGCATTCCTAAATCACTAGTCTCCCAACTGGCCCTTTGTCTCACTCTGCTCAACTAGGGTTAGCATTTGAATAGGCCCACTTGGCCCCTTTTACTTAGGTGAGGTCTATGGAGTAAGGCTATGCTCTCAAGATAAAGCAGATCTTACCATTAACCACAGATGAATTCCCAGCCAGTTTTAATATTTCAAATGGAGAGCGAGGGAGGAGGGGCAGGAGATTAAAGCTAGTTAAACATGATGGTGTGCCCCAATATTGAGGTTATTTCCTTTACTACATTAATCATTTACTTAATGGACATTGGCTTTTTGTGGGGAGGGGAGGATGACCCAAAGGTGCTCTTGTAATTGAACTTATTTGAGCTGAGAAATTATGTCACAATGTTCTAATATTGTGTGGCATCAACCTGGTGTAGGTTTAAAGTTTTGCAAACAAAACTCTTTATGTTCATTGGAATTCAAGAATTAGAAATGTTACAGTTTGGGATTGTTTTGAGATGTTTCTTTAATGCACTGCAAGCTTTTTTCACCCTGGAATTGCTTACAGCCTTTTACTCTTTAGCCTTCACTTTTCGCAGCTGTGTAGGTTTATGGAGAAAGAAAACTAAAACTTCAGTGTTGGTAAGAATCAGGTTTTTTGGTTTTTAAATAATCTGCATGGATTTACTTCATTTATCAGTTATTATTATACTGCTCTTTAAGATAGAGGAAAGCTTTTCAGAGGAAACTGAGCAGAAATTATGGTGTGGGTAAAGCATGTCTCTTAACAGGAAGGTGACCTATCACAAAAACCAAATCACTAAAATAAAATTGAGCTTCAGGCCAGTGATGTCACATGCCAGCTCAAGCCCTGCTCTTCTCTAACAAATCACCCAGGAGAGGGAGGAGATGCTCAAATGACATCTTTAATCCCCATGTTCAAGAATGAGGGATGGAATTTCTTGTTCTGTTGTAGAGTTTTGACACTAATGACTCTATTTCCTATAACTTGATGTCCCGGACCGGAGCCATGGGATCCAAGACAAAGCCCGGGGCTGGCAGCCCAGGTTGCTTCTAGTCCTGGTTTTGCCAAGTGGCCTTAGGTCAGACCCAACACCCCTCTGCCTCAGTTTCTTCTAATATTAAGTTGCTGAATGAGATGTTTTATCCCTTTCAGCTCCAAATGTCTAGATTGATTAAGAAACCTGGGTTTGTCCAATTTGACTCTATACTAGTGATTTTAACCCTAATGGGACTCCAAAAAAACTTTAAATGTTGATCAAATAAAAAGCACAGCTATGAAGAAATCTGTTGTGTTGGTTTCATATA